GCTTTGGAAGCAGGTCTGGGGACAGGCAAGGGAGTCTAGTTAGTCAAATATCACGCAGAGTGCGACGATAGTGCTGTTGGGTAATCCTGTGCCTGAGAATGCTTGACTATGTGTGCCGACTGTAAGACACTGGCTGTCGTGTGTAAAAGGGATATGTGCTTGGATGTGTGGGTCCCACGATGGAGGGGAGGGCTGGAGGCGCGGCCACCAGCTTGCGCCAGGCCAGTGTGGGACTATGAGGGTGAGAGATGCGCTCGTGCGTTGTGCGTGATGGAGTACTGCGGGGATGAGTTGGGGCGGTGGGAATGCAAAGCTGTTCTCAGCCGTCCGGGCAAGTGAGAAGGTGTCGGCTGCTGTGGCATCGGGGTGGGGGACCTTAGAGCAGAAACGCGGCAGGTGTGCATTTTTGGAGGTTGGCGAATAGGTCAATGGAGTGGGGCCCCCAGCGACGCTCGAGGAGGCGAAACCATGGGAACTTCAACGAGTGGTCATCGTGGTCGACTAGCTTGGAGAGCTCGTCTGCGCGACCATTCAGATCGCGTGGGATCCATTCGATGATTAGCCGAATCTCGAACTCCATGCATTTTTGGATGATGCCTTTGCACGTGGTGGTGAGGTCGGGACTTCGTGAACCTCCTTTACGAAGGATGAAGAACACGCCCTGGTTGTCCACCCGCACTAGCACGTGTTTCTTCCGGATTCTAGGCGCGTACGTTTGTAGCGCCCACAGCACGTCGGCAAGCTCTCTTTGTGTGCTGGAGGTTGGATGAAGGGCTCCGGGCATTGCCGCGCTGGCCTCTATCGCGGCTCCAGGGAATGTGTTCAGCGTGGCACCCCAGCTGTGGGCACTTGCGTCTACGTGGATGACTGCATCGTAGCTGTGCGGCACATGGAACGGGGCACCGTTGAAACGGTCGAACTCTTGGATCCAGAATCTCAGCTCTTCGATGGCGGGTGGGGAGAGGATGACCATGCTGGTCCATGTCGGCGCGTCGTTGATTGTTTCTAGCATGGCGTGGCTGAACGCTCGGGTGGTGGTGCCGAGTGCGACAGCCATCGATGCCAGCATGCCTGTAACTCGGGCCAGTTGCCGGACTGGGACTTTCCGCTGAGCTGAGCTTGCGCGCAGTAGGGCATGGAGGGTGGCGTTGAGTGTGGCTTGCCGCTCCTCGCCGATGGAGAACCGGCCGGCCTGTGTGTCAAGTTCTACGCCATGGAACCGAAGGTGCTGTGTTGGTATCAGCTTTGACTTTTTTGAGTTGAGTACGAGCCCGGCAGCCTTGAGATCGATAACGATCCGTTGGCACGTGGCTTGAGCGTGTGCCTGGGTCGGGCACAGGAAGAGGATATCGTCCACGTAGGGTATCACGCGGACCCCCTGCTCCCGCCATCGCCGAGCTAATTGCTTGATGAGCTGCGTGAAGACGAATGGTGCTGTGGCGAGGCCGAACGGCAAGGATCGGAAGGCGTATGTGCACCCGTCGAATTCAAAGCCGAGGAACGTCCAGCACGAGGGATGGATGTCGACATGGTGATAGCCTGATTTCAAGTCGATGGAGAACATCCAATCTCCTTGGCGGGCAAGGTCCGCTACGCGGTTGAGTCCCTCATATTTACTGTAAATTTGGGGACGATTATTGCGTCGTTCACCTTTCGGAGATCCAGAATCAGGCGACACTTGTCTTTCTGCTCGACCACGTTGAGAGGGCTTATGCATCTCAGTTTCGCCGCAGGAATTTGGATGGCCGCGCCGGTCTCATTGAGTTCAAGGATGGTCGTGCGCGTGAATGCTTCGTGGGTGCGTGCGCCGGCATGGTTGCGATCGTGAAAGGCCGGCGGCGGCCCGAGTTTCCATGGCATCCAGTATCCTTTGGCAATGACTGAGAGGATGAAACTGCTAGTGCACCATGAGCTCCACCAAGCAAACGTGGTACGTAGGCGGCCACGCATTTGGGTGACCATCTTGTCAGTAACCGCGTATTCGTAGGGGTCACTGTTGTGAGCGCATTCGCGAAGTCTGGTGCCTGTGGGAGTGCCATCATGCAAGGAGAAGCAAGGGACGAATACTTGAGTTCATCTGCAGGGCTGATGCCTGCCGGAAACCTAGAGCGTGGGGGGGGGGGGAGTGTGAAGCCTAGTGGCTGAGGAGGGCGTGCCGGGTTGAAGTGCCACATGCGAGCAAGATGCTTAGGTCGGTGGTTGCCTGCGCTTTGAGCGGGTCTGAGCGGCGTGACCTGCGTGTGTGTCGGTTTGCACGCCCGCGCATGCCGAGCTTGCGTTCGAACCTGAGCCCCGACGTTTGCTTCCCTTTGTGCCCTCGTATTCCCACAACTTGTGCCTTCACTCGCGCTTCTACTCGCGAACGCATGTTACCCTCTTATTGCCTCCTTCGCTTGCGTTCTCATTTCTTGGGTTTTGAGACTCAACGCCCGTGTTTTTTTTTTTTTTTTTTGGGTTGCGGAGCAACCTATTGCAATCGATCGGGCTGGTTTTTTTTTTCAAGTTTGTGAAATAAAAATTAAATGCTTTTTGTGATGGAAATAAAACATTTTATGTATAATAAAGTCTCATCATGAAATGCTCCGCAACCCTAAGACGATCTCGTCGCCTCTTGTTTTTTCTGTCTTTCTTCTAGCCACCTCTTGTGTGCTTGTGTGGCATGCGTGCGGTGTTTTGTTGCTGTTCCCGCTCGTGGGCCATACCGCGTGCGTGCGCGCATGCTTATGTGACTCGTTTTTTTTATTATTATTTTTCAATGCCAAGCTGGGCAGCCCTAGATGAGGCTGGTGTGGCTGTTCCTGTATGCCCACGGCGGGATAATGCATAGGTTCCAGGGTGTAGCACACCGGGTTGGAGGGTAGGCGCCTTGTAAGGCTCGCATAATGCTTGAATATTTTTAATTTTTTTTTTTTTGCATGTCCAATCAGGGAGCAACTCTGTGTGGGTAAGTGGCGGGCCGTTGGTGTTCCTGATGGCCTTCCTTCTCTGGCCGGGGGTGCTGCGTGACATGCAGCGGGGGTTGAGCCACCCACTATGCTTCCTTGTTCCGTGCTCAACCCCCCCCCCCCCCTCTTTTTTTTTTTTTTTTTTGTTTCTGCGCCTCTTATGGTGCTGCTCCCCCATTTCTCTGGTTATATTAGGGGACCAAGACCTGAAAAAAGAATGAAGGACTGCGGCTCCTTACTTTAACCAAGCTTCATCTCTACTCAACCATGCTCCTAGGCATGCAAAGTCCGCCTTGCAAGGTCGGGCTATCATTTGGGACCGAGGGGGTATGTTCCCCTTCCCTTGCTCTGAGCCTAGGGCCTTCGATTTGCCTACACTAGGGCTGGCCCTCTGCCACCCGTGCCCCTAAGGGGTGGGCCCAATGGCCTACGCACACACCGGGTGCCTTGCGCCTTGCGCCACTTGCGCAAGCGCCCATGGCCCGACCCCTACACCACTGGTGCGGGTCCTTGGCCACCATGCCCAATCGCCGGGCAGCCGCTGGCCACATGCCCCGGCTGGCCACAGCGGAAGCAAGTGCCTCGGAAGCCACGGAATTCTCCTGTAGGCGGCGGACCACGCTTTGGCACGAACGGCATGGGCATGCGGCCGCCTCCGCGATTTCCACGAGCAAACCCGCCCTCGGCGCGGTCCATTGCGGCCACGTCAGCGACGGCCTGCTTGAAAGGCCTTGAGGTAAGCAGACTCTTCTGCTGGTACAGCTTGAAACGCTTGGCTGTGCGGAAGTCGGAGGCGTCTTCGACTTGGAGAACTTCGAAGCGTCGCGATATGAGGGCAAGCGCGTCGGCGAGGAATTCGAGGCCGCCCGGCGCGTCGCCGTGCTGCACCTTGAACTCGGCGTGCTTCATGTATGCCCGAAGGTCCTCCAGGACTTCCGCTTGCTCGCGCACGGCCGCGTTGAGGAAAGACGCCGCCGAGAGGGTGGTGTTAGTGGACGGGAGTGGTGGGAGGTGCTCCATGGGAATTGAAGTTGCAGCAGTGCCGGGGACCTCACCAGCGTCATTGTCGGAGTCGTCGCTGTCGTTGTCGGCCGCCGGGGCAGGCGGGATGCTGGTGACGGCGTCTTTGGCGAGGCGTGGCGTCTTGGTTCCGCGTGTGGCCTTTTCTGTTTTTGCAGGTTCTTTTTTAGCAGATTCAGAAGCAGCAGGTTGAGCAGTTTCGGCGGCCGTAACACTCGTCGACTGCTGCTGTAACAGCGTCAACAGCGCGTTGACCTGCGCAGGGGTCAACGACGGGGTCAATGTCGGGGTGGGCGGCACGTCAGACGAGGCAGCCGCGCGCCCCCTTTTGCGCTGGCGAGAAGGACCCGCCACTTGCGGGGCTGGCGCGTGCTGCTGCTCGGCGTCAGGCGCGAGTGGCTGGCTCTGCCCAGCCACTTGCGCGTGTGGCTCAGAAGGGGGCAGGGGCGCGTCAGCAGGCTGACTGTTGACCTCGCCCCCTCCCAGCAGAACGTCAACCCCAGTTGGGGCGGCCGCCCCTTCTTCTGCCCGACGCTTGTTGCGCCGGTCGCCCGCAATTTCCGGGGCTTGGCGAGTAGACTCGGAATTGGGGTGGCCGGTGACGACGTTGGACTCGCCGCGATTATTCGTAGTCGGAGCCATGACGGATCGGTGAAACTTAAAAATGTCGGAGAGAAGAGTCGAGGGAGACTCGCCGCAAGGCAAAGTTCTAGTCTTAGCCAGCTTGAACGGGAGAAAAGCTAGAGCGGGAAAGTTGACTGAGCCGTTTGAAAAATGAGAGACGTGGGTGGAGGTAAATGAGCTCCAACCCACGTATATGTAGTTGGAGAAGGGCGAGTAGCGCGCTTCGACGATGCCCAATGCTTCAGTACAATCAGCTTCGCTTTCACAATACACAATTTTTGAAAAACACTACGTGTGTTAAAATTATAATGTTGCACCCTGCTGGTCGGGCTTTAAGTACTCGTGCTTGCAGATTCTTTACTTAGTCTCCTGCAACACCTGTCAAACAGGTCCGCAACCCTAAGACGATTTTGTCGACTCTTGTTTTGTATACCATCCCATGAATAAATTACAAACCTAAAGGTAAAATGGGCATCCTAAAGTCGACAGGACTCTCAAAAATCAGAAGGGTCATGTGCTTCAACGGACTACGCAAGTCCAAGTCAATCCTAAATTATGAATAGGCGTTAGTGTTGGTAATGGGAGCACGCTGATTGTCCTTGAGTCGGCCAGAGTGAGAAGCGGTAAGATCACGATTGAGCACAACTGCCCACTGGCAACGAGAGTTGACTGCGGGCGAGCCACGCCAGCGACACCCTACCACCGTGTGCCTCGACTGATCCTGCCTACCACCTCCTTCCCACCATCCGCTTTCCCACCGCATCACAGGTGTTACCCCTGATGGATCCCTCCCAGCCAGCGCTTCGCCCTTTCCTACGCGCGCTGCAGCTGCGCGCATCCCCCCAGCAGCGTCTGGATCGCGTCCACCAGCTGCTGCCGCTGCTGCTGCCAAAACTCCTCCGTCTGCCCGCCCTGCGCCTCCTCCCCCGCCCCGCTCCCCGCCACCTGCTCCTGCTCCGGCTCTTCCGCCGCCGCCTCCTGCGCCGACTGCCACGTGTCCTGCGCAGTCGCCATCGACGCGAACCTGTTTTCTCTGCGCCGCTTCAGACCGACCAAAACCGGATCAGCTGCGAGGGCGCCAGCGGGAGGGGCGCTCAGCGCGCAACCGTGCGACGACCAGGGCTCGGCGGCGCCCGTCCCTGTCGTACACGCCGTGTCGGCGTCGTCGTCGCCTGCGGACGAATCGCAGCTGCCCACGCTGCTGCACGGCGACGAGGGACCCTCGCGCGACGAGGTCCACCATGGATCGTGCTCGGACGCTGGTACTCTTTGCACCTTGTCCGCGCCGTCGCCCCCGCCGTTCAGCAGCAGCAGCACCAGCCCCAGCGCCGCCAGCCGCCGGCTCGCGGGCGTCGCGCTCAGCAGCCCCTGCAGCAGCACCTCCGTCCCCGCGTCGCTCCGCTCCCCGCGGGCCAATGCGCTGCGCCTCCGCGCTTGGGGGTTGGGGGGAGTATGTGCTGCGGGGAAATCGGCGCAGGTTGGCGGTGGTATTTGGGCCGGCGTGACTGTTTGGGCGAGGGGTCGTTGCGCGGAGGGGGGGAATAGCGGAGAGACGCACGCGGATGGAGGGCTGGAGGGCGGTTGCGAGGGGTGGGCGGAGGGCTCGAGGATGGGTAGCGCGGCGGGGTCGTGCGCGGAAGAGACGGGCCGCCAGAAGTCCTGCGAGGTGGCCACGGGGCTGCATGCGGGGTTAACGTCGACCTGCGCCCTGCGCCGCTTGGGTGGTCGCGGGCCGTCGGCCCGCAATGGATCGTCGGGCCGGTTCTCCATGTGCGCGTTCCACTTCAGGGGTACCTGCTGGGGCTGCGCTGCCTGCTTCAACGACTCGATCCAGTCCCACGCAAAGGCCGCCAAGGATTGTCTAACGACAGAGTAAGGGCGCTGACTTAGCTGGGAAAATGCATTTGATGGTGTCACTGAATGTTTCACTCGATTCATTTGTTCGACCGAAAAAAGGTTGCTACATTTGCGCAGGTTATAACACAGCTGGCCTGCATGGGCCTAGTCAATAACGTGACGTGGGGAGAAGGTCACTCTGGGTACACTGCGATTGCCAAGGCCAACTGGTGATGATGGAGCAGGGGGGAATCGCAGAGCACGGTCAACAGGCACATTCGGAGCATGGAGCGGGACAGCGAAAAGGGAAGCCCGCTTGGTCCATGTTGCGGCTCTCTTCCTCGCCATTGGTTTGCTTTGCTGTGTGTGCGACTCGCATTGCGGTGCGGTGCGACTAGTGCGGTGTGTCTGCTTGTGGAATGGAAATTAGATGGCCATGGCAACCTTGGCGTGTGGCTGGCTGGGGGCTGTTGGAGAGGAGATGCGAACGACCTGCGCCGCGGCATGCATAGTTGATTGGAGGGGGAACCAAGGAACGAAGCGGGGGAAAGCGACGCTACACGACACGAGGCAGCTCGATTTGGCCCAACGAGCCGCCATTCGGCACAGAAGGGCAATGCAGCAGGATGTTGACTAGGTTGAGGGCAGAAACAAAGCTATCTTGGTGTCAAAATACCCATCAGCGTATAGCTTATCCCATCCTTTGGCCGAGAATTTCAACGACTTACGCCTAAATTTTCTTTTTACCTTGGCGATATTGACTACACAACAAGGGGGACAGGCAAAACTCTCCGAGACAATCTCTCCTCCCCGCATCACCGACGTGTGTTTCACAGCAATTTGTCGCCTTGCGGATTAATGTTGTGCAACCTGGAACGTCTAACCTGGGAAACCCACAGCGAACAAGGCGCAGGTAAGATCAATTGACTGTTTTTTTGCTGTCCGAATGTGGGGAGCAAAATGCCGAGCCCGTGGGTCCACTCTGGCCAGTCGAGCAGTAAATCCAAGCTTCGCGAAACCATGGGCTCCTGCCTGGTTTGAGCTCAGGTGTCTGCAACCAACAGACGTCGTACTCGTGCACCCGCCACAGTGAGATGCAAACCTGTCTTCCGTTTGCTACGTACTCGGCATAAGCCTTCGCTTTGAAGTATTACATCATTTTACAGAAGACATTTCATCTGCTTATGACACAAACGTGGTATGATAATCTCCCTCCAAATGAAACCAATTAGGACTTCATGCAATGTGTTTCCAAGTGTCCTATCAATAAACTATTTTCTTAACATGTTATCCTTCATAGATGCTTTTTACCAAGGTTTCCGTTTTCAACTATGACAGTTTCCCTTGCCCTGGAGCCTCAGGAACATGGCTTCAGAAGTCAAGACAAAATGTCCTAAAATACTGTATAGCAGGGTGGTAGTCCTGTTTTTTCCAGTCCTTTTATTTTCCCTAGGCTTGAATTTTAGGGGTTCTTATTTGCGCATGCCTTAAATATTGTATGTTCTTGTTTGGGCCATCATGAACTATTAGCCTAAACGGATTTCCAACCTGTCCTGCTCTTCGCCCCACCTTTTGCTAGCTGCTCTGTTTCGTCTCTCTGCGCCACCTGCTCGGCCATCTCCCACTCACCGTCTCACGCCATGAGCGACGATGAGGGGTGACAGGTGCAGGGTTCGAAACGACGCAACAGCAAGGAGGCCGCAGGGCAAGCCAGTGCCCTGTCGTGGACCTAGGATAGCCTTTGAGAACCTCCTCTCTCTCTAGGGAGGGTAGTAGGGAGGCTTTCCCTGGGGAAGGTGGTTTTATGGAGCCTATCTCTAATTAAGACATCCCTTCTTGTCCAAGTGGTTAGGACTGGTGACTTTATGACATGGTATAAGAGCCATCCATGGTTCAATTTCTGGTGAACACGCTATCACAGCGGGGGGATGTGTCGTGGCACTGGGATAGCCCTGTCGAACCCCCTCTCTCTCTAGGGAGGGTACTAGGGAGGCTTTCCCTGGGGAAGGTGGATATATGGAGCCTAACTTTTCTGAGGACATCCCTTCTTGTCCCAGTGGTTAGGACTGGTGACTTTATTACATGCCCTGCTTGTGATACAGTATGCGCTAGGTTTTCTAGTGCGTCCTGCAAGGCAAGGCACCGTGTGGAGTGTCACCGACACTCGTATCGACCCTTTCCCTCCCCTGCCTAATAGACCCACGGCTGGTACGTCTACTGCACATTGTAGCCCCGCGAACAGCACAGGCCGCGCGTCACCCGTCGTGCGTAGCCTGCGCGCGAGTTTTTGTGCTCGTCTCCTCGCACTCGCAGCCCGCTGGTGGTGGCTACAGTCTCCTCTCCGTGCATTCGTACCCCCTCGGAGGAGGCTGCACGTGGGTCCACACTCATACGCAGGCTTGCGCGTGGTGACGTTGGCTCGTCGCCGCTGCCCCGCTCTCCGGCTCACGACGCTCAGCGATTCTCCCCACTCCAGTGCAGTCCAGACGGAGATGCTGGCCGTACGTCGCCTCACCCTTGCATCCCAAAAGGCGAGGCGGGCTAGGCGGTCGGCGCGGCCGATGATGGCGGTAGTAGAGCAGGTATGTGTGCGCACGTCTCCCCTGAAACGAGCTTACGGACAAGCGTTGTTGTCCTTCCGGCTTCCCATGACCGTTGACAAACACCCTGCTGCCATCACATTCATCACAGCCCGCGCCGCCATTCGATCGTGGAGGCACAAGCCTTTGTGTGCTCCGTCGGTGGATGCTGCCTCCCCGAGAACGATGACACGGCATGCCGATCAGTTGGCAGGTGGTGCTCCCTCAACTATGCCAACGAGTGCGACTCCCGTGGCCGACCCATCTACCGCGCCGCCACTGGAGTCGCGCATCCAGTCGTCAGCCAACGCTGACGAGGATTTTGGCAAGGCTGCTGACTTGTTGTATCTTCAAGCTCTTCAGAGTTTCAAGTCTGATTGGCAGGAACAGTTTCCTTGGTTGCTCCTCTGTCGTACTAAAATTGGACTTCCTTCCCTACGATGTGTGTGTACAGATCATGGAGTCTTTGGCACCAAGTATGGCCAAAATGGGGAGGGCGCAGTTGACGTGCAGACACAAACAATGAAGAGGCATGACCGTTCAATACGACACAAGGCCTGCATCAAGGCGCAAAGGAAGGAAATGGAAGACGCGGCAAAGCAAAAGAAGATATCAGACTTCCCACAAGCCCAAGATCTCGAGAAGGGACACCTCATTGCGCTTCTGTGGGTCCTGCATTGCGTCTGCTAATGCGGCATGCCGATCAATATATGGGCGAAGCTCGTACGCTTCTTAGCGAAACGGAAGTGCCTCGGCTTCTTAAAAGAAAGCTACGGGACCTACTACACCTCGTGAGTTTATGATGTCACTCTTTTTGCCCACTTGTTTGTTATGCCAACGAATGCCTTGACTCACCTGCTGATGTCTACGCCCCATGCAGGTACGGCTTCGCGCAGCTGATGCAATCTCTGTCGAAGTGGCTTTACGCTTCTCAGCTACGCCACATTTACGAGAGTCCATTCATTGGTTTGAGTCGCGACGAGCCGGCTGACCGCACTCGAGGGAAACACTTGATTCTGTTCGTAACCTTCCTGCGTGACGGTCATGTCGTGTTTAAGTTCAACGCCTTGCTAACACTGGAACAGTGCGATGCAACATCTATTCATGCCCTCATCCAAGAACAACTTGCGAAGATTGGCGTGCAGCCCGCCCAGCTCACTGCCTTCCCCCCACAGTTCTGCGCTACCCTGTACCTTATTGCCATACGCCTGCCTGACCGCTTAGCCACTGCCTGCTACCACTTCCTTAGCCAGCACCCTGGCGACCTCACCCTGACCGCCTTTGTCGCTGCCCTGTCTGAGATAGAGACTAGCCAGCGCACTATCGCTCAGTCGAGCGGTGTTGCGGAAGTCCCTATCATTCAGGCCTGTGCTCCCTCCCAGTGCCCGTACGCTGAAGTCTCCACCATGGTTGCTACGGCTGCCCCTGCCACTAAGACCGCAGCTGCGGCCTTCCCGCAGCAGTGACAGCGTCGGGGCCGCCGCGGCCCCAAGGGAGGGCATGATGGTGGCGCTGGTGATGGTAGTGGTGGTGGCGGGGACAGTGGTTCTGACAAGGGGGTTGGAGCTGGTGTCCAGGAGCAGCAGCAGCCGCAGCAGCAGCAGCAGCAGTAGCAGCAGTAGCAGTAGCCGTGGGCCCGCCTCCCACCGGGGTGGCCAGGAGCCCCAGGAGGTGGTGGTCGCGGTGGCGGCCCTTGCAGCTTGGCGTCTACCAGGGGCTTTGGTGCTGTGAGCTGCCAGTATCAGCTCCAGACTGGGCCCCTCCGTGGCACTGTGTGCCGCCGCCCGCACCCGACCGCCCACTGCTTCCACCGCTTCGACGACCTCTTCCGTCACCGCTTCGGCCAGCCCCGGACCTCCCTGACTAGCCCGGTCTGCTGTGCCACCGCGTGCCTGTTTTTGACTTAGGCATGGATCAGATTAGTTATGCCCTGCATTCTTTGTATGATGCTGCTTCTAGTGTGTCCGGATCTACCCTGTGTTATCTAGCTTAGGCGTAGCACATGTGTGTAGTACAGACTCCCCTATTGCGCCAGGCGTAGGACCGTTTGCTTTGTCTAGCCTAGGCTCCACACTCGCTCCTCCTTCGTCTGCCACTACTGCTTCACTGTCCTTCACACTTGACTCCAGTGCGTCAGCCTGCTTCTTCCGAAACCATGCCACACTAACGCCGCTTGCTGCGCCTGCCACTGTCACACTTGCTGACCCCTCTTTTGGTCCTGTCGTTGCTCGCAACTACACTACACTTCCCTGTCTAGCAGATCCCTCAGGTTCCCTTACAGGCCTGCACATCCCTTCGTTCTCCAGGAACTTAGTTGGTGTCGGATGTATTCAGGACCTCGGCATCACCACAACGTTCCCTGGTCACGAGCGGTACGCTATCTCTGGCTTGTTTACGCTGGACACTGCTTCCACCCCAGTTGGGGCGTCCTCCCCGAGCCCTACGTCTATCCAGGTCGCCGCTGCTTGCTCGTATCGATCGCTCACTCACCCGTCGCTCCTGTGGCACCATCGCCTAGGTCACCCCGCACTCCCGCGACTGCGTCAAATGTCTCAGCACGGTCTCCTCCTGGGTCTCCCTGCGTCGCTTCCTGCCCTCCCTCCCTCACCTGCACTGCCGTGCACACCCTGCGTCGAGGGCCGACTGTGCCGTGCTCCTCACTCCTCCTCGCTTCGCCCTGCCACCGCACCCCTCCAGACCCAAAAACTGGACGTCTGGGGCCCAGCCCTCGTCCCCGGACCTCGTCGCGAGCGCTATTTTCTCGTGCTCGTCGACGACTACACGCGCTACACCACGGTGTTTCCCTGGAGTGGAAGGTCGACGTGCCTGACATTCTTATCCCATGGGTCGTAGCTACGTGCGTCCTCCACAGTCTCCCAGTATTGTGTCTCCACTCCGACCGTGGTGGCGAGTTCGCCTCTGGTCGGCTTTCACATTTCTGTCGTGCGGAGGGCATCACCCGGTCGTACGCCCTACCAGACTCCCCGCAGCAGAATGCGGCCACTGAGCGACGCATCGGTTTGGTCATAGAGGTGGCTCGTACCTCCATGATCCATGCCGGTGCAACCCATTTTCTGTGGCCGTTCGCCGTTCGCTACACCTCTCACCAGCTTAATCTGT